ACGGAAGGTTATGACTAACACTGGAAGCCCGGAATTCATTTGCAGGGTCCACACGTGGACGAAGCCTCTGTTGAATCTCCTCTGGCCGTAGTTGAGGGATGTGAATAGCGCTGTTATCAGACAGAGCGTATGGGAAAGTTGATTATAACAAGTGTAGGTTAAAATATATCTTATCATTTGATTTTCCTTCTGATGCATTTAAAGATGTTTCTGTTAAAAAAAAAAGTGAATGGGAATAACTCGTGGATTAAGCCTCAGGTGAATTCCTTCTGACCATACTTCAGGGATGTGACTAGCCTTGCTGTAATGCAGAGAGCACTGGAAAGTGGATGATTGCAGGTGCAGTCAGGTTAAAGTGGAACACCTTATTCTTTGATCTTCCTGTTTATTCATTGTAAATTTGATCTCATTTATAAAAATTTTCTGCTTTCCTTTGTGATTGTTGTTAGTTTTTCTTTTGTTTTACATGTTTTCCTGTAGATGAAATCCAGGACAGGTAAGTCTATAGAGAGAGTAGCTGGATTGATGGTTCCCTGAGGGAAGGGGAGGTTGAGGGGCAATGGGGAGCTAATGACAATGCGTACAAGAATGAAGCCATGTTTTCAAATGGACTGTGGTGGTGATTGCACTATGACTCTTCTTAATATGACTGAACTGTAGCATTGTGGCGTCGTGGTTATGAGTTGGGCTGCTAACTGAAAAGTCCATAGTTCGAAACCACCGTCCACGCTGAGAGAGAAAGACAAGGCTTTCTACTCCCATAAAAAGTTACAGGCTTGGAAACTCCCTGGGGCAGTCCTACCCGTCCCATAGGGTCCTGTGAGTCGGCATTGACATGATGGCAGTGAGTTTGGTTTTAGGTTATTTCATTGTATCATATGTGAATTTTAGGACAGTGACTGTTTTAAGAAAAATAAAAAGACCTTCAGCAGGGGGAGAACCAAGGAAAGGCTTTCACACTAAGAGAAACAGATTTTGATGGAGATCAGAGGTGGGAGGAGAAAGCAAGGAAGGGGAAAGCACAGGTGAGAAGATGGGTAGGTGTTCCTTGGGTGAAGGGGAAGACGCTATCCAAGAGGGGGAGGGTAGAGGGTGGGGGTGGGGGTGTGGTGGTGGGTGGGGGGTGGGGGTGTGTGGGATGGACACTGGGCACGACAGTGGGAGGTTTGATGAGTTGGTGACCATCTAACGGATGAGCTATTCTGTACACTTTCACCTCATTCACAATGAAAGTTTTTCTGAAAATCAGGTGAGTAGTGACGCGAAACCCATACCGAAGTCTCCCGGGCGGCATTTCTTGTGCACTGAAACCAGGACGCCCTCGTGATCGCCCCCACATGCTGGCGAAGGAGGCTTTCCACACAAATGAGGAAAAAGCCAGCTGCCAGCTCCTCCATCAGAGAAACCAGCACAGGTCCTACTTGGCAGCTCGTTGGACCCACCTGGGGAGTTCTGGAAAACGCGGGGGCCTGGGTCTCCTCTCTCGAGGTTCTGATTTAACCTGTCTGGGCATGGAGGCTTCTTAACGCTCCCCGATGTTTTTAATGGGCCGCCCAGGTTGAAGACAGTTCCTATGATTCAGGGTTCCACAATGTCCCTGGTAATGAGACCACCACGTGCACTTGTTGAAAAATAGAGATCCTTAGGCTGCCCCGCAGAGGCACCAAATCCCACGCTCTGAAGAGGGTTGGTAAGAGAGCCACAGAAACCTCTGAGGAGCTGAACATGCTTGTTAGTGGGAGTCCTCTCCTCTGTGACGGGGGTCCCTGCGGGGAGGGCTTCTCCCTCTGCTGCTTTCTACGGGAGAGTGTGTTGGGGAGCCTCCGACATCATCTATCTGTTCAGATAACTGAGAGGTGTGGCTTTGATTTGGAAAGACCCAGAAAGAAGAATCCCTCTCTGTGAGTGTGTGTGTGTGTGTTTTAACCAAAAGTAAATTCGTGTTTAAGCAAAAGTACATTCGGTTCGAATTGCAGGGGGAGACAGGACAGAGTCAAAAGGAAAACAGATGCCTCTCTCCGGCAATGTCACATGAGTAGAGAGGGCTTCTAAGTCTTACTGCTTTGCCTAGGGAGCAAGTGTTATTAGTTAGCTTTTGCTGTATAACAACCCCCCCACCCCAATACAGTGGCTTCAAACAGCAATGGTATAGTTAGCTCACAAGTTTGTGTGTCAGTCAGTCATGCTGTGCTGAGGTAGGCAGTTGTTCTGGTCTCGGCTAAGTTCAGGCATAAGTCAGAAGCCCGCTCATCCAGCAGGCTTGTGCAGGCTTTCCACGTAAGAGAGTTTCCAACAGGCTGTGGGTGTGCAAGTGTATGCTCCTCTTGTCCACAATCTTAGTACACGAAGCCAGAGGTTGGGAACATCCGTTCATGCCCTAGAGCACCCAGGGCCAAAGCCAATGGTTAACAGAACAGTAGTTGTGAGAGTTCATTTTGACTCATGATGATGACGGGTGATTGAGAGAAAAACTGTAGCACCTCTGGGTGGATTGGAACTAATTGCACCTTTTGGTTGGCAGGTGAGTGCTTAACCACTGTGCCACCGGGATTCCTAAAGCCACGATTGTTACTGCAAAGTTTAGTTAGAGCAAAAGAGTACTCCTTTAAAAAACACTTGCCCACAATTTCATCATGAAGAAAGAATCGTCTTACACCATTACTAGGCCTGCACTCCTTAAAAATGTCAAGGATCAGAAAAACAAAGAAAGGCCAAGGTTCTAGAATGAAGTACACGAAAAACTCATGACATTAAAATGCAGTTTGTGATCCTGGATATATCCCGGGCCAATAAAAGCAGCTATGTAAGACATAATTTGGATAATTGATGAAATTTGATCATACATTACATAATAGCATTGTATCAATGTTTCAATTACCTGATCTCATTAATGGTATTGAAGTTCTGCAAGAATATGTCTTTATGTGCAGAAAATGCACACT